CCACCACACCCACATCATCAAACCACTCACACCACCACACCCACATCATCAAACCACTTACACCACCACATCCACATAATCAAAACACTCACACCACCACATCCACATCATCAAACCACTCACACCACCACACCCACATCATCAAACCACTTACACCACCACATCCACATAATCAAAACACTCACACCACCACATCCACATCCACATCATCAGTCCACTCACACCACCACACCCACATCATCAAACCACTCACACCACCACATCCACATCATCAAACCACTCACACCACCACATCCACATCATCAAACCACTCACACCACCACATCCACATCATCAAACTACTCACACCACCACACCCACTCCATCAAACCACTCACACCACCACATCCACATCATTAAACCACTCACACCACCACATCACCACATCCACATCATCAAACCACTCACACCACCACACCCACTCCATCAAACCACTCACACCACCACATCCACATCATTAAACCACTCACACCACCACATCACCACATCCACATCATCAAACCACTCACACCACCACATCACCACATCCACATCATCAAACCACTCACACCACCACACCGCCCGCATATTACATCACCATTCGCTCACCCTAGCATTTTTTAAATTCCTAATTATTATTCATTTTGAAATACTAAATTTATGCAATTACAAAAAAAATCATAATTAATGAGGTCGCATAAAATATATAATCTTCTAATTAAACCTCTATAATTAACAACTTCAGGTCGTGAATTGCACTGTGATTTCCCTCCCTCCCCCCACCCCGGGAGAAAAAGGACAGGGTGACCCTTACAAATATAATCCCATTAGTGGTGACTACATGTACAAGTATTAGAGCGACAGAAACATACAGCGGTTTAGTTGTGGTCATAGACTGTAGCGTTTAGTGGTGCAGTTTAATGGTGACCTGACATTTAAGGGTGACCTGACATTTAATGGTGACATGACATTGGGGGGTAACCTGACATTTAGAGGTAACCTGACATCTAATGGTAACCTTACATTTAATGGTAATCTGACATTTAATGGTAACCTGACATTTAATGGTAACCTGACATTTAATCGTAACCTGACATTTAATGGTAACCTGACATTTAATAGTAACATGACATTGGTAGCTTGACATTTAGTGGCAACATGACATTTAATGGTGAACTGACATTTATTGATAAACTGACAACTCCAGCACAACACTTAACATAGTGTCATCTCTAAACTCTTTCAGTAAAACGTGCCGATAAAAATGTTATAAGCCCTAGACTTATAACATGTTGAAATTCTAGGAATATAGATCTATATACCTATTCCTAGAATTTCAACATCCGCATTTTACATTAAAAAATCCATTGGGAGATTTAAAGCACATTTTCCGATCAACATAACCGTAAAGCTGAAGCGCATTAAGCTCTCAGTTAAAGATCCAGAGCCCGATGTCTTTTATTGGACCGGAGATTCATTCAGGCACACAACAAAAGTGTGTTACAAGATTTCAACCCAGCAAATCCATTTCAACACAAGCGACCAGATTAGGGAAGAGGAAAAAACTTTCCAGCCAAACAAGCAGATTTCTGCATGTTTGAACGTAAGGGCCGCGAGGAGTCATAACGACCTTCACATCTAGATCACACTGACCTTTGACGCTCAAATAGGACAAAAGTTTGAACACAATAGCAGTTGAACAAAGTGCTTTTTTTTACAACATTATTGCGCAAGGTATAATTAAAATAATTACCACTGAAACCGTATATTATATTAAAAAATATTGTTTAAAAAAAGCTAGACGAAGATTAGGGATATTTGGAAAGATTTGAGCATTTTCCAGCTTTGAATGAAGTTACATCAGACATTTATTCAAAAAACGTATCGGGCTGTAGCATCAGTTAATGCCCCTGATTCAACGATTATCTCTGTTTAGACTTCCATGACAGTTTTTTAACTAACTCCATGATCGCTTGATGTAGCATAGATGGATGGCTTTCTAAAAATAGCTCCAGATATAATTTTCCTCAACATTTATGGCTTAGAGGTCGGAATGTCTGTAGATTGTGTGTCAAAATACGCATGTACCCATGAAATCACGGGATATTTGTTTATGTCCAGCTATAAAAAGAATTATTTAAAAATTATTTGAAAATTATAAACAATTGTTTCAAAATCTCATGACAAAGCTCTGATTTAAAATTCTCATTACTAGGCGTTGTTCTGTAAACATAAATTTCAAACTTAATCTAATGGCTGTTGGGGGTGGTGTTCGATGGGTGGGGAGATACTGGCGACCAACTGAGAATTAAAGGAGATGGGGGCGGGTGACAAGTAGAGGATTAAAGGAAAGGGGGAAGGGTTACAAGTAGAGGATTAAAGGAGAGGAGGACAGGTGACAAGTTGAGGATTAAGTGGAGAGGGTGGCGGGCGACAAGTAGAGGATTAAAGGAGAGGGGGGTGGGTGTCAAGTAGAGGATTAAAGGAGAGGGGGCGGGTGACAAGTAGAGGATTAAAGGAAAGGGGGAAGGGTTACAAGTAGAGGATTAAAGGAGAGGAGGACAGGTGACAAGTTGAGGATTAAGTGGAGAGGGTGGCGGGCGACAAGTAGAGGATTAAAGGAGAGGGGGGTGGGTGTCAAGTAGAGGATTAAAGGAGAGGGGGCGGGTGACAAGTAGAGGATTAAAGGAAAGGGGGAAGGGTTACAAGTAGAGGATTAAAGGAGAGGAGGACAGGTGACAAGTTGAGGATTAAGTGGAGAGGGTGGCGGGCGACAAGTAGAGGATTAAAGGAGAGCTCCCAAAACTATTATCTAACAGATATAATAAGATATAAATGTCGCATACTAGTCCCACGACTACTTTCATAAATGAAGTCCTTCTAGCATTTTACTGTTATGTTTATGCTGTACTATTATGTTTAGGATATACTATTATAGTTAATTTAGGATCATTGTGAACACAACCTTTCTTATAATAACATACACCACAGGCGAGAAATGGTAATATTCAGAGGGAATAAATTGTATAATGGGATAAATACGTAATCAGGGTTAGAAAAATTATTTTCAAACTATTATTACGAAGATTATCAATTAGTGTTATATTTTCTGTTACACACATGGTTCATGTATTTTAAAAGTTGTAATCCAAAAATATCTTAAAATCCAGTTTTTCTCTTTTAAACATTATCCATTCATCAGTGAGGTGATTAGGTGACCAAAAGCTAAAATACTTGTAAGACATTTAAAACATAAACACTGAAAACCCCACCAAAAACGATAAATTTACTGTCTTAAATACAACTCGACCTATCAAACAACTTCCAGGCAGATATCGAGGCCAAGGTCATAAGAGCTATTCTATTTTTAACTTCACAAATGATGCGCTTGGCCGTCGTAATGATCCATCATCAGAAAGTAAATTAACGTCCATTAAAACGCAATTAAATTACGTTAATTGTTTGCTCATTAATTTAGCGCGGGGGCTGTCCCTGTGCAAAACAGATCTAATGTGTGATAGAGATGGTGTATCTTTAAATCATTGTGTAGCACATGAATTTGTTTTGTAGTCGTATTTACACGATTATTTTTATTGAAATAAAAATAAAAATTTTCGATGGGAAATTGTAATCAAAACTTGGAAGTTGTTTATAGGAAGCATAGGAAAATACTGGGGCGGGTGCGAGGGAGGGGGGATGGGGGAATCTTCTAGGGGACGTAATTACGTCGTTGTTTACTTTGCAGTCAGCTAAACCATGGCCTATTGGTTTCAATTAAATCAATAGCTGGTGTTTTAGCCCAATTGGTTATACTGGCTATTTGATAGACTGGCTATTTTATAGACTGGCTATTTTATAGACTGGCTATTTGATACACTGGCTATTTGATACACTGGCTATTTGATAGACTGGATATTTGATACATTGGCTATTTGATACACTGGATATTTGATACACTGGCTATTTCATACACCGGCTATTTGATTACACTAGTTATTTGATACACTTGCTATTTGATAGACTGGCTATTTGATACACTGGCTAGTTGATACACTGGCTATTGATTACTCTGGCTATTTGATACACTGGCTAGTTGATACACTGGCTAGTGATTACATTGGCTATTTGATACACTGGCTATTGAGTACACTGGCTATTGATTACACTATCTGCTAGACTCACACGCCATGTTTAAAATGCTCATTTACCGCGTGTTGCTACATTACATACGGTAATCCGTAAAATATTGTTTTACAATAACTTAAAAAAAAAAGTTGTTAGCTGAAACGATCTTTTTATTTTAAGTAACGGGAAATCCTTGTTTCTTTTATAAGGCATCAGTTTTTTTTAGAAATGGAAAATCCATGTTTCTTTTTTCAACCATCACTTTATGTTTAGAAACGGGAAATACCTGTTCCTTTCATTAATCATTCATGCAGTCTTTTTTTTTTATCGTCATTGATTTTCCTCGTCCTCATCTTCCCCCAAACTCTTCTTTTCTCTCCACCTCCCAAAAAATGTATTTTGTAGAAGATAGAGTTGGAGAAGCCAAGCTTCAGGGGGGTCGGGGATGGGGGGTAGGGGTTAAATGTTTTTAAACACACAACTTCAATACCATTCTCAAAATGAAATAATTTTCTATGGGAAGTGATGGCTCTGGGTGGGGATGGAAAAGAGGGGGGTGGGGGGGATGAGGAGACACGTTTAATTTTTAAACTAATATTATTTAGATTTGCGTTGTTCTTATATTTAGAGTAGAACACAACGCAAGCTTCAAGCATGTTTTGTTGATCACCCAACATTAGCTGAACTTGACCTATTGAACGGTTCATTTTCTCGACCTTGAGCTACTTCCTGATCCACGGCCTTGACCCGGCGATTACACACGGCCTTGAACCAATAATCGCACGACCTTGACCCAAACGATTACCCACAATCTTGGACCCACGAGTACTCATGGCCTTGACCCATCCATTACTCACCCATATCCCTCTTGTTTGGCGAAATGCGCGTTGTAAACGCTGCCGAACTTAGTGAAGGACAACTTCATGACCTCGACGAGCCTGCGGTACAGCTCCTTGAGGTTGCTGTCCTTGGCGAAGGTGGTCAGCCGCAGGTGGTCGTCGGCGTTGATCCAGGCCACCCACTGGCCGCTCTCGCTGTAGTACATACCGCGGGAGGCGGGCCACATGCGGTAGGCGCCGGCCGTTCTGTGGAACCTGAGGGTTGTGAGGGTACTCAGGAACTTGTGTGAGGGAATTTGGTGTGAGGGGAGTTGGTGTGAGGGGTATTGGTGTGAGGGGATTTGGTGAGAGTGGAGTTGGTGTGAGGCGATTTGGTGTGAGGGGATTTGGTGTGAGGGGATTTGGTGTGAGGGGATTTGGTGTGAGGGAGTTGGTGAGAGTGGAGTTGGTGTGAGGGGAGTTAGTGTGAGGGAGTTGGTGAGAGGGGATTTGGTGAGAGGGGATTCGGTGTGAGGGGAGTTAGTGTGAGGGGAGTTAGTGTGAGGGAGTTGGTGTGAGGGGAGTTGGTGTGAGGGGAGTTAGTGTGAGGGGAGTTAGTGTGAGGGGAGTTAGTGTGAGGGGAGTTGGTGTGAGGGAGTTGGTGTGAGGGAGTTGGTGTGAGGGAGTTGGTGTGAGGGAGTTGGTGAGAGGGGAGTTGGTGTGAGGGGAGTTAGTGTGAGGGGAGTTGGTGTGAGGGAGTTGGTGTGAGGGGAGTTAGTGTGAGGGAGTTGGTGAGAGGGGATTTGGTGTGAGGGGAGTTGGTGTGAGGGGACTTGATGTGAGGGAACTTGGTGTGAGGGGAGTTGGTGTGAGGAGATTTGGTGTGAGGGGATTGAGTGTGAGGTGACTTGGTGTGCGGGGACTTGATGTGAGGGAGCTTGATGTGGGGGAACTTGATGTGAGGGAGCTTGATGTGGGGGAACATGATGTGGGGGAACTTAAGAGCTGTGAGGGAACTTGAGAGATGTGAGGGAACTTGAGAGATGTGAGGAACCTAAGAGAACTTAAGGGAAATCGATGTTAGGGAACTTAATGTCAGAACTTTCAGGGAACGAGGAACCTAAGAGAACTTAAGGGAAATCGATGTTAGGGAACTTAATGTCAGAACTTTCAGGGAACGAGGAACCTAAGCAACAAACTTAAATGGAACGATGGATGTGAGAGCACGTGATGTGAAGGAACCTCAGGGATGTGAGTAAACCTAGTCAATGTGCTGGATCTTGATAGCACGCGATGCATGTGAGGGAACGAGAGACTATGTGATGAAGGACTCTGTGAGACACCAGGCATGGGAGGTTGAAAAGAGTTACTCACTCGCTGGTCTCCTTGATGACGAGACCGTACGGTTCCAGGACGTCCTTGACCTCGGGGTTGATCTGGCCGATCGTGTAGTGGTATCCAATCAGGTTTCCAGTGATCAGGGACAGACAACAGATGCATCTCTTCTCCACTTCAGACCTGTGCGGTAGTGGCGGGTCAAAGGTTAGTTGTGGGCTGGCGGTAGTGGTGGGCTAACACACACACACACGCACACACGCGCACGCACACACACGCACGCGCACGCACACACACCTGTGCTCCCTCTTCATGAGAGAAGCAAACGGCAAGTCCTTGAAGTTCCTCATGATGGTCAGCTGTGTTGACTGGACGAACTGACCGGAAGTGTCCAAGAAATCAAACTCCAGGCTCTCCTCACTGACGAACGCTGGCTTCGGGTGTTTGAGTTGAGTCAGGTTGTTATATTCCAAGAGTATCTGTAAAAGAAACGCGGCACGTTTAACACTACTAGCATGACAGAGACGAGAATTGTTGACGGGGAAACCACTTTCTCGGCGTTATCTGCAACTTGGCATAACGTTATTAATTAATGTTTGGCGTCAAGGTAGACTGCTGACAACACATTTCCCTTCCAGTGCTGAGGACAAACAAGAACACGAACTCTACTACATCCTGTATATAACTTCACTTAACAATGCCAAAAATTAAAAATAATTAGGCATCCAATTAAGTCAAATTTCATGTCACTATGCATTGTCTTCATGTCTTGATCCACGTGCCAACTGCGAATCGAATCGGTCAAGTAGAGGTGTCCGAATTTTCACTCCTGCGTTTCGATTTAGACTGACGACAGAGTGACGACAGAGGAAGTGAGTTAAATAAAAGCTTGTAAAAAAAGAAATTCCGGCTAAATTTGACAACTATGCTCAGATTGAAGAACTGACTCCCCCCCCCCCCCCCCCCCACACACACACCTGTTACCTTGATACTTACCGGGTCAATGAGCGAGTTGAAGGTCGTGTAGGCGTCGGGGTCACAGGCCAGAAACCCCACGGTCTCCTCCGGACAAAGACATCCGGCCCGGACACAGTGGGCCAACGTGCCGCCGAACTTGGTCTTCTTCCGCTTGAGGTCGTTGAGGACATCCGTGGTGAAGTGTTTGGCCAGAAGGGAGTGGGCGTTCCGCACGTCAAACTTGAACACAGGAGTCCAAAGGTGGTGAACGCCAGAGGAAAGCGTCGAGCGCGCTACGCTATTTTAACAGGGCAGGTTTTTACAGACACACGCTTAAACCTACGACGGTGTGCTTTCGCGAAATGCTACTACGATGAAATAATGTAAACTTCCATCATATCTTTTATTGTGAGTTTAAGTTTAGTAATTAGTGAGTATTGGAAGAAAGGGGGGGGGGCGGATTAGAAAAGTCATCGATGACCAGACACTAATCCACGACTAAATTTTTTAATCCAGTAATTTCTTGATCGTACACGTGTTAATTACAGCGTTGGAAGGGTGTGGATTATCGTTATGTTAACTTTTTGATACATTGAGTACGATTGATGTCGTAGGCATTATTAAATAAAACCCGCATTTGAATTTTTAAAAATTTATTGTAAGTTAATATCTTCTACCGTTTAAGGAATGTGTCAAATGATTGTCACATCAGGATCATACGATTTTCATTCTTTTGAATATCACTTTAAGCTTGCAATTATTGTTTCTAATACTACTTACAAACGACTTTTTCTAGAATATGCCCCAATGTTTATTTAAGCGATATATTGTAGCAGAGCCCTAGAAATGTTGTATAATTTTGTGGGGTGGGGGTCTAATGTAATGCAATATAATCGTTAAAATGGGGTGGGGGAAAGGATAAAGAATGCTCCATCTTTCGTTATTTATTATGTGTACGATCAATTTATGCAAAACTATTGACGTAGTCTTTCTAATTAATCTAAGCGTTGGGAGGATTGTGTGGTAAGCATTAACTACTGCTGCCTTATCTTTTGTCGAGTGAGTCGGGTACCCACATAAGCTGAGTGGACTCAGCTATGATTTAAGGACTCAGGGAAACCATAAAGACGTAAACGTACGGCGTAGCGGCAATGTATGTTAGCGGGGAATCTAAAGGTCGGTCATAGAGTCCGCTTGTGATAATAAACTCACATAATCCCCCACCAACACCACATACAGCACAATCACCTAAGACATGACCATACATATGTTCCCCTCACACATTCCCCCACCAACACCACATACAGCACCATCACCTAGAGCATACATATGTTCCCCTCACCCATTCCCCCACCAACACCACATACAACACCATCACATAGACCATACATATGTTCCCTTCACACATTCCCCCACCAACACCACATACAGCACCATCTTCTAGACCGTACATATGTTCCCCTCACCCATCCCCCACCAACACCACATACAGCACCATCACATAGACCATACATATGTTCCCCTCACCCATCCCCCACCAACACCACATATAACAACATCACATACACCATACATATGTTCCCTTCACACATTCCCGCACCAACACTACAAACATTCTTACTTTGAGCAGTTTCTGGAGATTTTCAGGGTCGCCTTGCCCCCCTAAACATGAGCACATTTTTGTTTAGGCGCACGTCTTTATTAGTAGATTTCTAAATAAAGTGCGTACACGTCACTTCCAGAGTGTGTATGTAGTTAAAAACACGACATGGTGTAAAAAAAAAAATAGTAAATCCTGTTTTTAAATATACGGAACAATTATTATGAGGCTTGTATTGACGGTATTATATTTGTTACAACTACTATGAATGATACCTTTATCGTAACCCACCTACAGAAACCGCGGGTCTGACCCTAACCTTAAACCTAGGCCTATCAACGATACTTTCAAAAATATCCGATGCGATAAAAATCTGTTAAAATAGTTTGAAAAAAATCGATTACTTTTCATACATAGGCATAGAGTACTTAAGACAAAAAAATCTTATAAATATTGAATTATCTTTCAGCTAATTTATCTATTGAAATAATTTCTTGGAATTCACTTTCAAAAGTATTATTTAAAATACAACAGAATGATCTGGATTTAAACATTCAGTAATGAGATCCGAACTATCTTCCACATCTATACTGACACAATATTTGTCTTTAACTAGTTAAATGGAATACACATTTCGTTATAATATTTTAATTTAATTTTGTCTTTATATTTTTACTGCAGACTTTTTTTCTTACTGTTTAAATAGGCTACTTTTAAAGTCTGTTTTACAAGAATATCGACAGAACATATACATTAAAACTTTATATCTTAATATATTTTTTTTTCTGTAGTGATAAAATAATAGCATGTGTTCAGAACCATAAAGCAATAAAGAAACTCATTTAGCTCGTAAGAATTTCGGCTATTTAAAAAGTGTATGATATTGTTTAGAAGAACTTAATAACATTGCTACACAACAATATAAGCCTACTATAGTAGCAGTGGCGGAACTAGAAAAAAAAGGCTCCCCCGCAAAAAAAAATTTTGGCCCCCCCCCTATATGTATATATATATATGTATATATATATATGTATATATATATATGTATATATATATATGTATATATATATATATATATATATATATATATATATATATATATATATATATATATATATATATATATATATATTTATATATATACATATATATACATACATACATACATATATATATACAAGTAGCCCGCTCCACTAAATTTTAAATAGTGTATTACCTGAGTATTTTAATCAATTTTATAGCAATATATAACCACTCTGAGATAACGAACCAGGCAACAATAAGTCCGAACTCATTTCGGACCCGTAATAATCGTGTTTTACAAATGTTTGTATTACGTCTTATGGTTACCGAAAATTGCCAAATAATGTTGGCTGGTCAAAATTATATAAACACGTAAGCTTGATTTTGCAATGGTTTCTCGCGTTATGTTTATTTTTATGATTTTTTTGTATTTATATTAATAGTTTTGAATACATTCATTTTTATAGCTATAGAATTCTTTAGTATGCCTCATTTAAATAATAAATAAGAGAATAAATGGCTCTTTAATTTACATAGTACAAAACTATTTAAATGAGCTTTGTGGGCACTTGTGTTTTAATGAAGGGCAGTAAGTCATGGAAGTAGTGTGAACGTTTGCCTATCTTTCAAAGCAGAGCTCTTGTAGATATTATATTTTTCTACGCAACAGTGTGTGTTAGTTACTGTAGAACAATCACTGCTACAGTAGACCTGTTTGTTTTTTACAAAACCACTATCAAGGTGCACGAAAAACATTATTTATGAAAAGACAATTCATTGTTTTTTTGGTCGGAATTGGGCCCCTAAACGTCGTGGGCCCCCCCGCATCGCGGGGTCTGGCGGCACTGTAGTTCCGCCCCTGTATAGTAGTATGGGTTGTATTAGGCAGTGGCGTAGCGAGGTCGGGTGTCACCCGGTGTGGCACTTAATGGTGTCGCCCCCCAGTGGCGTAGCAGCCTTTCCCGGGGACAAACTTTCAATTTTCGATTTGCACCCCCACCCCCATAAACTTTCTATTTGCACCTCTTAAAAGACTATGTAACACTCGAATTAATCACTTAATTAAGTGGAATTATCATCTTTCTCTATATATTTTGCCTTGGTGTCACCTCCCTAAATGGTGTCACCCCGTGCGCTCCCAAACCACGCCCCCCCCCTTCGCTGCGCCCCTGGTATTAGGTGCATATGGTGAAAAAAAAACAGCTGACGGTAACCGATTTTTGTTAGTAAAGCATGAACAGAACAAACTATGTGGACAATAGTTAACAGAGAAGTTTACAGTTTTATTGAATCATACATGATCCAGCCAATACATTCTTAAACCGCACAACGTCAAGCCAACATATTCTTAAACCGCACAACGTCAAGCCAACATATTCTTACTTACTTACTTAGTCCTCTTTGCTCCTTATGGAGCATAGGGCCTCCACCATTTCCTTCCATTTCTTCCTATCCTCGGCTATTAATTTTGACATCTCCCAAGACATCCCTGTTGGCTAACATATTCTTAAACCGTACATAATCCAGTCAACACATTCTTAAACCGCACAACGTCAAGCCAACATGTTCAACACAATGTCTCACAAAAACTAGTCTTCCGCAGAAATGTATGACGGTAATTATAATTACCTACATTAAATCCTTAATGGCTATGAATGACAACTGGTGATAGTGATCCCGCCTTAACCTCTACAAACCATTTTAACGGCTGCAAACCACGCCCTTACGACTACAAACCATTTTAACGGCTACAAACCACGCCCTTACGACTACAAACCAGTTTAACGGCTACAAACCACGCCCTTACGACTACAAACCAGTTTAACGGCTACAAACCACGCCCTTACGACTACAAACCACACCTTAACGACAACAAACCACACCCTAAAGACTACAAACCACGCTCTAACGACTACAAGTCACACCCTAAAGACTACAAACCACGCCTTAACGACTACAGGTCACGCCCTAACGACTACAAACCACGCCGTAGCGACTACAGGTCACGGCTTAACTACTACAAACCACGCCCTAAAGACAAACCACGCCCTAACGACTACAGGTCACGCCCTAACGACTACAAACCACGCCGTAGCGACTACAGGTCACGACTTAACGACTACAAACCACGCCCTAACTACTACAAGTCACGCCCTAACGACTACAAACAATGCCGTAATGGATAAAAAAACAAAGACGCCCTAAAAGCCAGAAATACCAAACAATATCATCCAAAGCCGCCCACACTTTATCAATCATCTACAAGCCATCGTTAGCTCATGTTTTCAACAATTCTAATGCTCATTTTGTACCTTCTAAAAACACATTTCTTGTAAGGTTTTCACGAGACCTAAGACATTCTTGTGAATGTGAATCGATCAAATAACTGGCCACCTCAAATAGCAGTGTTCTCGACAGGCAATCCATAATTAAACAAAGCTGTGACCCTTTTATTAGCATAACTTTACCAGGCTGGCGTCGAACTTTAATTGTTCAGTCAAGTTTCTGGTATATTATTATCATAATACAAGTCTACTTATTATATTAGTCTTACTAGCAGCATCGGGTTTATCAAGTAATCGTAGTCTTGATGTCTGGTAGAAAAAAATTATTCACGGGGGGGGGGGGGGGGGGGGGGGGGGAGTTAGGAATAATAATTGCAACATTAGGAGCCAATATTACATTTGTTTTGAAGGTATTTTTTTCTACATGTAGAGGACGATGCAAATGGAATACTTTAAAGGTCAGATGTTAGCATATAAAAGTCATAAACCAGTTTTACTTGACTCTAATAGCAGTACCATTAGAAAAAAAACAACAACAGCAATACCATACGGTATTGTCAATAATGCTGTCTTTGAAGTACCGAATATTCTCTCGAAAAAAAACGAACCCGCATCTTTAAAAAAAACATAACCTTGGAGACAATGTGTTTGCACATTTCGGTCTAGCGGACCTCCGAGAAAACCGATGCGAGTTGTGCACAAGGATGGGACAAAAAGAAACCTCTTGTGGTGCAATTCGGTTTTTTTTTTGTTCCCTCGGTTTCCAGGCTGTTCGAGTGGGATTTTCCGTAGATTATTTTTAGAGCTAGGCTCTCGTGGCCTCGGGCTGGTTGTATTTTGGAAAGATTTCGGTTAGGTGAGTTGGGTCCAGGTTTAGCTGGCTTAGTAATAAGGTGAGGAGGGTGGCGATAGGAGGCAGGTGAGAGAGGGGTGGACCACCCCCCCCTAGATACTCACTGTGGTAGTGCTGACCGGACATTGTGGTAGTGATGACCACTCACTCTGGTAGTGATGAAACATAAACTTACTACAACAACATAAACAACAGCATCATAAACCTACCCCTACTACCCCGTTGCCTAAATGAAGCTCCCTAAAAAACTGAAAACAATTCAGTATTCTAAAAAGAATTGTACGCCTTGCCCCCCCTCCCCCCCACACACACACACCAACTAACTACGTATTCTAAAACGAACTGAACCTCCGCCTCTCTCTCGAGGTATAGGAAATCAATAACGCGATACAGTGATAAGAATAACGTCCTCCTTTAATTCTCTCCCCTTTTCCTCGCATGTTTTGATGACGTTATACACAAACCTGCTTCAAACGACGATAACGAAAAAAAATATTTTATGCTTGACAATTTTTTTTTTCACTGCATGCCTTCCGCCATCTTGCTTCTCCAAGCGAAACCAAAGTTGAAACGTTTTAAAAAGTTGCCGTTGGCTCTAATCGGTGGGTTTAAAAATTGGGTTACATTAAGTCACAAGACTGACCAAATGGTCAGCAGGATATATTTGCATGTAGTTAACCAAACAATATATATATATGGCGCTTGTTATCATCAGAAAAACATGTTTTAGTCACTTGGCTAGTGTTATCACTATTTTCAAGAACATTGTGTTATTGAAATAGTTTACACTGAAAGAGATAAATAATTCAAGCGTGTTTTTTTCACAAACAATTTTAGGGTTACAAAAACAGATATGTATCGAATACGTAACAGCCAAATTGTTTCCATACAAATGTTCACTTAGGGAAGACAAAAAATATTGCACAAAAAACCTCTATGGTGCTTAAAA